AATTTAATTTTAAAATTTTAAAATTTTTTAATAAAACCTGGGCGAGATAATCGCTAATTTCTAATTGTCAGTTTTTTCCGCCAGAACTGTATTTCACAAATGAATACGATTGACTTACTAAGATAATCCATAGATATTTTCGAGCCTCAAACGTAAATAAAAAATTCGATCCGAGCGGATATTCGGATACAATGCCTTTGAGTGTAATTATGGGGCCCGTAAAAATTAAAATGAACCAAAATATAACCAATATAACCTTATTTTGTATATACATTTGTCAACGTCAGCTTTTATATGACATCATGAACACTCTTTTGCAAGATTTTAATAGCCGATCACTTGGGTGTCCAGGCGGGTTGGTTCAAAATTCGCGCGTGATTTTATCGATTATAATTCCGGCTGAAATCAGCATAATTTCATATGATGAAAATTTTGATCATGGGGTCGAGTCAAAATCGTGATAAAATCGTGACCAACAAATCCAGTATTATAAAAACATTATTTTTGTCCAATAATTTAGCTTCGTTCTATTTTTGATCGACATTTCCGGTTTTGTTTACACACGAGTTTTTTTTCAAATATAAAATACCTCTCTAAATTTCTTCTCAATTTTCTCAAATATTTCTTCTGCTACTGAAATGATTGCTAATTTTCCTATTTCTAAAATTCTAACGTTATTTTATTTTTTTATAATAGGTCATGACATCTATTTCTAACGAAGAAAAAATGACAAGGAGAATAACTCAAAGATTTTTCTTTTTTTAATTTTAAAAAAAAATTTTAATATAAAATGCAATAATAATAGATAGCAACTCAACTAAAAGAACTTCAGTCAAAGTGATATATCTGCTGGTCGGTGAATTCACTCCCTGAACTGTCGTTCAAAAATATAGACGAAGGTATCCTCTCGTTTCGTACTATTGACAAAGCAAGTAGAAAATATGGGTTCGCTTGTCCTATGTTCAATTTGCGTCGAAGTGCCTTCACTAGTTATAGTTTTTAGATAGATATCTTTATTCCTTTATGTATCTAATTTTTTATATACCTTGTATTCATTTTCTTATATTTTAATAAAGTTTTGCGTAATATCGCCCTTTGCCCTTTAATAATATTTGTCTTAAAGTTGTTTCGTCAAATGATGTCATATCAAATGATATTCACGTGATTTAATTTTACAAATATACATAACAAATAGAATGTGCAATAAATGAGCAGTCGTTGGAAAGAGACATCGTATCACTTGCTTTTTATAGAATGGGGAATTTTAAAATGAAAAAAACGGTTACGGTACGTTTGACCGAAAGCCATCCATTTGACCGAATCTATTTGTCACCATCAATTGATACGGTTACTATAAAATTGTTATTTATATATTATGCATACGGGTGACAAATAGTTTTCGGTCAAATGGCTTTCGGTCAAACGTCCGGATACGATAACTACAAACAAGACCATCTCCTCATAAATGAAAAGTGACGAAAAAAATTCGCTTGGTTTCTCTGCTTATTTGAATGGAGTAATTTTATTTTTTGGTCATAACCCACCATATCGATACGTAAATTATACTGAATCCTTTCATTACCTTTCTCATCACATCAAACTCAATGAATAGTTGCTGTAGGAGCATCCTCAAAATCGAAGCTCGTATCGAAATTAGATAATAATACAGATAATACAGATATAGATATTGATACAATTGTTCTGATAGAAATCATCACAAATGAGTAATTCAATTAATAGAAATTGGTAATTAAATAGACTGTTTGATTGATATATTTTATTATGTGACGAAGGAAATGACTTTCGCACTACGATCATGACATAATAAATTCATCATTTCCATTTTTTATTTTTCAATTGTTATCGTTATCGAATTATTTATCTAATTTTTCCTTATACATGTTATAATGATGTTAATTTGGATATTTGACCACGTTAAATTGGGTTTTGTCAAAGGGAAGATTCCTATTTGTGTTTTGCTTATTTGTGTATACAAAATTATATCTACTATTGTGAAGTTAATATAGGCTTCTTCTTTATTGAATAATGATATCGGATGTAAAATTTTTGTGTATAAAGATGAAGGTTGTGAAACTTTATATCACATATATCGTAATTAATTCTTTTTATTAAAGACAAAATAAAAAATTTTCCCGAATAACTCACTTGACATCGATTTCGCCTTTATCGAACCTAGCCATAAATACATTTATTTGATCTTTTTTTCCTCGTTAAAAAAGGAAATTTCAACATAAGTAATTCCGTTTAAAAACAATGTTGCATCTAATGCCATCAAATTATTTGCTCTAACGCCATTGCAAAGATATCTCGAAAATAACGAACATTCTATAATCGGTACGATTTAAATCTTTTCAAGAAATCAACTTGAGACTTTATGAGTAAAATTAAAAGTTTTATATTTAATTTTAATCATGATTAGCTTGAAAATAAGCTTAATATTAATCATGTTATTTTGATATCAGATTTCCCTTTAATCTTAATCTCAATCTCAAGCTTATATTTTGTAATATTCCCGTTTACCCATGATATTACATATCGATATTTTACTGGATTTACTACCGGAGTTGGATTTTCCGGGAAAAAATAATTTTTCCGAAAATTTTCAAAATGTTTAATCTATTTTTCGTTGCTTTTCTGTATTTTAAGCACGGAAATTAATTTTGATAAAAATGTAATTGTTTTTTTTAATACATAATACATTTTGATGTTTTTGTTGTAATTACGGATTATTTAAAGCTAACGAGCAGTGTTATCAAATTTTTTTTTAAAAAAATTGATAGCTTATAAAAATTTTTAATTAACGTTAATTGTTAGAGTTAGCGTAAGTAACACAACACATTTATTTACAAAAACATTTTTTATCATATCATGTGTTAATAACTATGAAATATTTATTCACCCGTCCAAAAAAAATAATAATAATAATAGCTTTCTTTATCCAACGTCAAAAAAGGATTTTTGAAAATACAGAAATGTGGATATTAAGTCAGGTTATTTGCTCATGTTATTATTTATTTAAGTCTTAGAGTTGTATCGTGTTTTAACTTTTTTTATGTTTCTTATGCAGTTGCATGTTGTATACTTCTGCCACATTCCCCACAAAAATTTGGTAACTGAAAAATCTTTGCGCTTTTATTGATTTAGTAAAAATCGATTTCCACTCCTTTCATAATACTTTGAAGCAGTGTTGGCAAATGACCTTGAAATGATCTCAACGACCTCATTTTAATTATAGTTTAAATGAACAAGTTTATTTAAAAAATAGTAAATAACCTTATAATTTGTTATCACTGCTTTAAAGTACATAACAAACGATTCAATCTCTCCAGAAGTTGATACAAGGTTACAAAGATTTAACACTACTAAGGTTAGTTGACTTTGATTATATGGTCAAAGTGGTAGCTCTTGCGCCCTTTGAAGGATTCGCCTAGTGAGGTGAGGCCCTGCAACTCTCTCTGAAACGTAGCTGAATTAGATGTGGTGTCTTTTAGGTTCACGATCTTGTTGATCAATATGTTATGTGACTTCCTTATTCACATTGAAGTTGGATAGTTGATGTGTTCAAGTCTAGCCATTCTGCTTTCTATTTTTTCCTAATAATATTATCTGATTTATTTCTAATACAATTCCTTTTTTTATTAAGCTTAATACTAAGAATATTGGTAGAATGTGATGCGGAAAAGGTAAACATAATGTTTTGAAGGATGCTACGAACGTCATAGCGCAGTTAAAGAAATAAGTAGAGAATCGATTCCTCGTCGTCGTCATCAAAAAAGAGAAAATCTGAGGGAGAATCATCTGATGATGATAATACTGGTCGAAGCAATCGGCAACCTGATAATTTAGGCAAACAAGAGATATACGTAAGATTAATTCAGTGTTAAAATCGTAGCATTATTACTAGTGATTTATTTCATTTTGACATTTTTTATAATCATCGACTTTTGAAGTTTATAAAAGTATAAACTTAACCAAATACTTCCATCATCCGGCCAAGAAACTAACGTAAAACTCCGAATCGATCCGACTGATCTGGATTCCAGATAATAATTCTGATCGAGGTCGATGTACTAGCTTGGTTTAACGGACTGATGGAAGGGGGTGTCATCCGTAGACATAAAATTTCCTATCTAGGGGAACTAATGCATGACAACGATGATGTTGAAGATTGCTCATTAGTCGCGAAATACTCCCATACGTTTTGGAGATCAAGCAGAAAAAACACCAATCCGGCTAGACAAAGGCCAGCTTTTGGATTACGTACGCATACCGGTTCAGCAGCAGCATTGCGTCAATACTTTGTCGTGTTCTTTCGGATTCACGATTTTTTTACGTCCTGAGCTTCAATAGCCGTACATGCAACTATCAGGAATTCCAAACAACTCTCGCGAGAGGATTTTCCTTATTTTTGATGAGGAATTCTCCAAAGATCCGCAGAATTAGCGTTAATCGCATTTTAAGAATATAGAAGCGTTGCCAGTAAAACACATTAACGATCATATATATGATTTATTATATCTCATGAATTGATTTATTGGAAATGTTCCAGTATCATTTTTCCGACACTTCAATTTACTGTATCATAAAAAGATTAACGATGTGTGTGTTTATTTTTTTTTGTTAATTTAATTTGTGTCAAAAAAGGAAATTGATATGGTGTACTTACAATATTTGAAATACAAGTATATTACGTCCAACTGGTAATTCTTTACAAATTTCGATATAGTTGCTTCCAAAATTTTTGGAATTTCTGATAGCATAAAGTCTTCAAATTTATAAAATATATACATACTATTTATATATATTGGACCCACCCATGATCGTTGCTGCTAAAATTAAATCTTGAGTATAAGTTGGGATGAAGGAAATGTATAGCAATTGGTGTTATTTATTTTTATGATGTGGAGTTCATAATGCTTTCATTGCCATTGCCAAAGGGAGATGTGACCATTTGTGGTTTTGTTGTTAATATCGCATAAGAACAAAAAATATTTGCTAATGAAATTATCTTGACTTGAAGCTTGGATGCTTGCTAATCCATGAGGAGGTCCCAATGTCTTTAAAGGAGGGTATTTTTCATCTTTTTCAATGCATCTGAACAATGATTTCCATTTTATATTTTATTATATTTTTATTAAATTTGAATTAATTACATATTTAAAAGGTTTACTCCTATACTACTAATTTACCTGATATTTTCCTAATCATTTGCTAGCACCTTGAAATCTTTATTAATAGGAATGCCTAGTTTATCTGCAACTTTCATGAAATCTCGTAAGTATCCGTTGGACTATCTTTGTACGTGCTATTGAACCCGTGATACTTCTAAAATTCTTCGTTAGGGTTTTTACGCGCGTTGTTTTCGCAGTAAAGTTTAAAAGAAAGTTTATTTTGATCATTTGTTAAATAGACACAAGGGCTTGAACCTATAGCAAAGGTAATAATTCTTTAACGATTGCTTATATGAAGGTATTCGAACATTCTCTTGAAAATAAAAAATATTTAATTGCATTATTGATATTCGAATATCGAACTCACTGCGAATATTGTGAAATTGTTTTCGAATCTAAATTGATTTATGATTTAGATTTATTTTAAAAAGATTAATTAAGATCAAATCTTTAAGAACATTTTTTTTAAAAAAAAAAATTTGACATTAGAATGATATCTTGATACTTCGATATTCGAAATGATTTTCAATACTTTTTTAAAAGAATATATTTGGAGCTCATTTTAAATTTCATGCGGAAAATTTTTAATTTTGAAAGAATTTGAAATAGTGATTTACAAAGGAGTTTATATGTTATTCCTGTTTTCTTTTTTACGAAACGAATAATCTCCATTTTTTTATTTTATTTTTTTAATAAAATTTTTTTTAAGTAAAAATTTATTTTCGCACTCAAAGCAGGCCATACACAGTGCAAAGCACCTGAATTCGTTCGATCTACGAAGATAAGGTACTGATGGTCCAGTCAGTACTACGTTTGGGACAATGTGGGAATACTGGGTGCTGTAATTATTGTATTGTTATTTGTTTTAAAAAAAAAATTATTCAATCTTTGACGGTTAAATTTCGAACTTTTCTTGTCAAGGACATACAGTAACTCTAAATAGCTAAAGATCGTCATTACACTAAAATTATGTAATATTTATATTTAGCAAAATGAACTTTACCCTTTCCAAATTAATATATAATATTTTTTTCTTTTTCAATTTTTTTATTTCTGTTAAAAATTAAAAAAATGTCCTTTGAATGTTTGCAGGGAGTTGCTAATGATTATGAAAGATTATTTGAAAATGACAAAAGTTATGATGTCATTATTTATGCCGGCGAAAATGAAAACGTTAAAGAACTGCACGTACTTTCAAATATTTTACGTTTCAGGTCACTATATTTTTATAATGAATTAACTAAAGATGATGTTGAAAAAAGGGGAGGAATATATATTTTAAAAATACCCAACATTTCTCCAAATATTTTTAAAATTATTTTATGGTAAATTAATTACGACTATTACGACAATAATAAAATCCAAGTTACCAACTAACATCTCTTTAAATTTTAGATTTATATATTGTGGGAGGATAGACATAACGCAATTGGAAGGAGCTGAAATATTAGAGCTCTTAAATGCGGCAGGCGCGCTTAATCTTCAATCTTTAGTTCCAGAAATAGAAGATTATTTAATTAAAGAAAATCATGAGTTTTTACAAAACAATCCTATAGGAATTCTTGAAACAATTTATCAACATGAATCTTTCGCGAAATTGATGAATTTTTATCTTGATAATATTTGCAAAGTACCCGAAATGTTTTTTAATTCTGATAAATTTATCGATATAAAAGCACCTTTATTAGAATACATTTTAAAACGGGATGATTTAAGTCTGGATGAAGTTGATATTTGGGATAGTTTAATTAAATGGGGTTTTGCTCAAAACCCGACCATTTCTAAAGAGGTTAAAGAATGGGGGAATGAAGAAAAAATAATTATGGAAAGAACTCTTAATAGATATATCCCTTTAATTAGATTTAATCATATGTCTTCACAAGATTTTCTTGAAAAAGTACTTCCTTTTAGAGAATTACTACCGAACGAATTGGTTGTTAACATTTTAGCATATTCTTTGGCACCAGATATGAAATTCAATATTAATGTGCTACCACCAAGACAGGCAAAATGTGATTCAATCATAGTTAACTCTCTACATTTTGCTATTTTTTCCAATTGGATCGATAAGAAAGGAAATCATGACAAGAAGACGCGATATAGTTTTAATTTACTTTACCGTGCAAGTCGAGATGGTAATGCATCTGTAGCATTTCATCAAGAATGTGATAACAAAGGGGCCAATATAGTCGTAATAAAAATAAAAGGAACTGAACAAATAGTGGGAGGATATAATCCATTTGGGTGGGAAGGAGATTTTCAATGGAAACATACTCTAGATAGTTTTGTTTTCTCATTCGTAAATAGTACAAACCTTCAAACTGCAAAAGTGGGTTATATTAAGAATGGATATGCTCAAAAAGCTGTATATTGTGATCCAACCCATGGACCAGTATTTGGTAGTAATGGTAGAAATTGTGATATTTATTTTTTTGATAAATATTGGTATTGTAGTAACCCAGCTGCTTATTTTAAAATTGATATTCCAAAAGGTAAATTTCAAGTAGATGATTATGAGGTATTCCAAGTCAATAAAAGATAAATTTAGTATCTAATATTGTTCATCAATACTATTAATAATATTTACTTTGTAATCGGCGGCACTGTCTATTATGATTATTTTTATGAAATACTTTTTTTACTTTGCCAATTTCGCAATTTTAACGAGCTGAGTAGGTTTTATATGTAAAATGAAATTTAATCAAGTACAGAATTAAATCTAAGGAATTCTAACTCGTTGAAGGTTTTAGCAAGAAGTATACATATATTTTCGATACAATATTTAATAATGAATTGTTGAGATAGAAAGTTTGATTTAAAATACGAAAACTTTCTCAAAATATGGTTTTTATGTAAGTAAATTAAATTTTTTGATTCACAATGCATAAATTAATGACATACATAAAAGTTTGTTTGTGCTCGTTCATATCCTCCATAAATTAAATATTTCTTCACTTTTTAATTCTATCCTCAATATATAAAATTGAAATTTGAGGTCGATTTATTTTTTTGTCCAGATTTATTTATTATCGAAAATTGGGAATAGAATTTATCCCCTGCCATTTTCAAAGCTTATTCGTAGTTTTAATAGATTATTAGTCTAAAAATATAAATGTATCCAAATTTTAAAAGATTAAAATGAATAATTTTAAAAAAGCTTCCGAACTGTGATACACAAAAAAAACACTTTCTTTATAAATGAATTAAAAGAAAAGTTAAGTAGTTCAAAAAGTGCTCCACTTTTTGAAATATACCAAAAAGATATAAAGTCGTCTTCTACATTTGCCAATAAAATTAAGTCACAAAATATGTACATAGTTTTTATGTTGAAGGTTTGAAATTAATATATAAAAATATTTTTGATTCTTATAATATTATAATTTATTAATTGAAAGTTAAAATCTAAAATAATTTAAAAATGAATTATAATATATTAATTTTAAATTTATTGAATTTTTATGTATTATATTTTAATTAATTTAATTTTTTTTATAATTTTAATTAAATATAAGATTTTAAAATCTAAAAATATTAATTATTTATAAATTTAGTTATATTATTAAAACATTATAAAATTTATAATAAGAACTAAATTAAAAATAAATATATTTTCAAAAGCAAAATAATTTATAAAATACGTAAAAATTAAAATGTAACAAAAAATAAAATAAAATAAATATAAAAAAATATATTAATATATTTATGAATAAAATTGTTAATTTTGTATATAAATTTAACACTAATAAATTTTAATAAATAATTATTTTGACACCTACTGAACAACTTCAATTAGTCTCTAGAAAATAACTGAATTTATTTTAAAAGAATAATTTATTAAAATAAAAAAAAATAAAATTAATACATTTATAAAAAAATTGCTAGTTTTATAAATATTTATTCAATACTAATGAAATTTGATAAATAATATTTGAGAATTAGAAATTACTAAATAATCAAAATAATCAATTATTAAAAATAACAAATCATCAAATAGCTAAAATAGGAAATACTTATGTAAAAATTAAAATAATCAAAAAAAAAATAAATTATTAAATAGCTAAATTGCCAAATAAATAAAATATTTAACTAAATATGAATTTAATTATAATAATTAAAATAATTAAATTAATAATAAACAAATAAATAAATAATCAAATAATCAAATAATC